AGAAAGAGATGGTTCAAGATTTTAAAGGAGCAAAGGTGTCAAGGGTAGATAGAAGAGCACTGTCAAGTAACTGTATTTTGTCCTCTAGAGGGTCAGAGGAAGAGAAACAGGATAAGGAGGATAGAACAGAATTTGCAAACCTTGGGTGATCAATTGATCGCAGATTGCGTAAATTTACAGAGCGTGGGGGGGAGGTGTTAGAAACAGGTAATCCAGATCAAAGAGAATGGCTAAGTGGTCAGAGAGGCCTAGATCAAGGGGAGAGCAGTGGGAGATAAAGGAGTCATTTGCAATAATTAGATCTAAGGGGTGTCCTTTGTTATGTGTAGGGGTACAAACAGAGTAAGGTCAAAGCATCCCAAAAGGGAAAGGAAGCTTTTAGCCATACTGGAAGAGCTTGAATCGATTTGTATATTAAAGTCTCCTAGAATAAGGATCCTTTCAAACATAAGGCATAAGAATGAGAGAAAATCAGCAAACTCACCTAAGAAGGCTCCACTGGGTTTGGGTGGTCTATAAACTGTGACAATAATAGTAGATTGGGGGATAGAATCATTTAAAACAAGACACTCAAAAGAAGAGGGAGGAGGTATAGTAATAGGATGTAAATAAGGATAGTAAAAGGTTGTAAATAACAATAATGCCCGCCTCTGCCTGAAAGACACGGAAGCTCAAACAAACCATATCCAGGAGGAACTAGTTGGTTGAACAGGAGTCCATCGTTTTGTTTTTGCCAGGTTTCAGTTAAGCACAGAAGGTCCAGTTTTTTTTCTTTGATGATGTCACATAAGAGAAGAGCCTTGTTGTTTATGGAGCGGGTGTTGAGTAATGCTGATCTGCCCAGTCTCGGGGATTCAGGGGAAAGCGGAGTGCACTCCAGGTGTGGTAGGAAGGAGGAGATTTTTGAGGACAGCGCCGGTGCGATATGGGCTTACAGTCGTGCGCCGAAAGGCAGGGATAGAGACTCTGCTGGCAGACGAACTAAAAAAACGGCGTCCTGTGCTGCGATGGATCTAGCGACTCGGTCGTAAAATTCCAGTAAAACGGCAATAATCGAATGTGTCTTTCACCAGGAAGTAGCTTTGTTTTAGTTGAAGAAGTTTCAGTGAAGTGTATCTCAGAGACATGATCGATGAATCAAGACGGGAAGGAAATCCAGAGAAGGTGGTAGCAAGTGGTGAAGGTCTGACACACACAGTCCCCTTAACGGATGGTGAAACTCCAATACCTAGAATCAACACACAACTCCCTCCTCCCACTATTTACAGCTTGCAGTTCTTAACAGTGCTCCTAGGGGGAGCCCCTTCATAGCAAACACTACAATATTCTTTCCTCTGACTTAAACAGTGTTGACTTGCTTTTTAAGAAAGATGATAAGGTCAGCCCGCGGACCACCTGGCATGTGCTCCCGAACCACTGGTGGTCCGTGGATCACACTTTGAGAACCACTGCTCTAGAGGGTCAGAGGAAGAGAAACAAGATAAGGAGGATAGAACAGAATTTGCAAAGCATTTACTGGTATAACTACCCCTTAGGTATCTCTTAATAATATTCATTATAAAATTCAATAATTAAAAATATTCACAGACCATGAATGTTCGATACTTCTGCTGGGGGAAGTGACCACTTTGATTACTGCACTGAGTAAGCTTATTAGATTGAATGCCCCTTACGTGATAAATAATGCCAGGAATATTGCAATCAATTCTGAGTCAATCATTGATTTTTTAGAAGGTTGTACAAGGATCGCCAATTTGGTGATGTTTTTACACTATCAAAAGATGGTGTATTTACGGTGCCTATAGTACCTGTTCATTACATTCTACCAACAAGTGTGAAACTCCTTTGTGTTATGTTTTTGTCATTTGTCATGTCTGACAGAGAGCAGAACTGACTTGAGCTGCCGTGTCCAGAGCAATTATGGTGGTGTGACAATCATTCAAGAAGACTGGAATAACAATCTGGACCAAGATACAGTGGTGTCATTGGCAGACCTTGTAATGTTTGGCAAGTACACCTCTTGCACACTTGTTAATATATTGGGCAGTTGTCAGTAAAGGAGTCTCAGTGCGTGTTTTTGTAAATATCTTCAGTACTCAAACGATGTTGACTTACTATCAGATTAAATTAATAATAAGATTTTTAGACAATTACATTTGCCATATAGATGAAACTGATGTTGAATAATACTCATGTTAAATATTTTATCTGTTAAGTTAGGGTTATTTTTTATCTATGGGTCCTGGAGATAAGATAAAGGAAATCATGAACTCCAATATTTTAAAGGTAATTTTTGCCAGACACATGAATCTTTCAGTGAAGAAGCTCAAGTTTGGCAGAAGAAAGGAAAATAAGCACGATCCAAAGCATATATCCAAATTGATAAATGGTTAACTGCACATAAATGTTCTTGACTGACTAGCTCAATCTTCAGACCTCCAAATGAACATAAGTGATTAGAAATTAAGATGGTACTTCATTAATGGAAACCAAAGGGTCTGAAGAACTTAGAGCAATTCTAGGAATGTTGCCTCTGAAGTTCTAGAACTTCATTGTACCCTGCAGGAGACATCTAATCAATGTATTTCTAGTGGTAAGTGAGACTCAGGTTTTCTGTATTTTAAGTATTTCAATTTTTATAATTCATTTGACAAGTATGATTGGTACTATGCAATGATATTGAGATTACTATATAAATTGTTTCTTTGTAAACAAAATCGAAACATAAGCTAATTTGTAAATCTTTCCATTGTTCCTGTTTATATTAATCTATTCATCATTAATTATAAATAAATTTACAGATGTGCATGAAAGTATGCACAACACAAAGATTTAGCTTTGGAGACTTTTTCAGGTGTGAGTGAGAACTGCAGGTCAGCAGGTATATGAATCAAAGGTATGGGGGTAAGGAGAGCAGAGGCAAGATCATGTAGGAATGGTAAGTAAAGAAAGTGTCCAGCCCAAAAATAATAATAAGCATAGCACTTTTATAGCACTTTTCTGGACACCCTGCTCAAAGCACTTTACAGGTAATGGGGACTCTCCTCCACCACCACCAATGCGCAGCATCCACCTCAATCATGGAACCAATGGAAATGTGTGAGACTCTGGGAGAAGTTTGAAAAGCTATAAATCTATAATTGAATGGAGTGTTTTAAAACATACTAGTAGATAATTGTAGTGGTATTGTTTGGCATCTATGTTTTCCAAATAACCAATATCTATGACTATCTCTCTGACCAGTTTATACTTTTAAGGACTTGACTGGACCTTTGTTTGCTGTTACTGCACAAAAGTGCTTGCTGAACTTTAATTATTTTTTTGGTTAATTTAGTGGAATTACAACAACTATTGTTCTTTGTCATTCCTTAGCCAAAATTAATTAATTCATTTGCACACCTTATTTTAAAACATTGTCATGATATCTGAAGAATTTATAATGAATGTACTTTATTGTTTTATCATAGGAAATTTACAAACGACAGTAGTGGAACACATACAACAAGTTCTTTTAAAGCATTTTTTCATTGTCGGTTTTGGGAAGAAATTGTTCAATCTTGATCTGTAAAGCTTCACTAGTTGCACTGCAAATGATAGCTCTTTCAATAAAGGGCCCTGTAAAAACAATAATAGTATTTTGAAGATATTTACAAGATCTCTTCAATCCTAATTCACAGCAAGCAGATAATCCCTTCTGTCAAGAATAACACTGCTAAGATTAAAAATTGTGATTAAAATAAAGGGTTAACAAGACAGATTAATGGGGAAAAAATGAATTCTTGGATCTTCAGGCAATAGAGTATCTAGTTTCACTAAATAAAAAAGAGAAGTAAATGTATTTATAAATTATATTCTTATTTTTGAACTTCATTAAGTCTGTAAATAGAATTGTCATGAGTGAATGATGTAAACAGTTTCTACTTATTGTTTATTCTTTTGTGAGACAAATGTACAGAACAAAGCCTGTGTAAAGAAAAAAAACGTTTTAACAAGAATATCGCTCTGAAAATTATTCTGTTCATTTTATTTTAAAAAATCTTTTTAATTGACAGATGTAATCCATTTGTTGTTGTGCACAATAAATTCACATTTTTGCTTCAGGAAAATATTCTTTAGATGTAGTATTTACATTATTAAATGAAGAAAAATATTCCATGCATTTCACCTCCTCCAAAACGGTTACTTATCGTGGAAAGGCTTGTTGCAGACTTATAAAGAAAATAAAATAAATTCTAAATGCATAATCACCATGGCATAAATTCTTACATGAAAAGTTTATATAAATTCTTTTTTAGTTCAAGCAGGTAGCTGCTTCAGCATGCGTAGGCTACAAAGGAACAAGTTAAAGGTTTATTCCATGCTGAAAGAGAAGAAAAGAAAGTTTCGGGTGTGGAGCCTTCTTCGGGTGTGGGAAAGACAGGGAATTCAGCAGAGATTATGTAGCACGGGAGAACAAAAAACGAGAGTATGGAGGAGGTGGGAGTAGGAGGGAGGCAGAATGGGCACTCAGGAGGGGCGAAGTAAAGAGAGGTCGGTCTGAAGTCGAAACCTGCAAATGAATGACACGGCAGTGATGACTTGGATTTCCAGAATCAGGCCCTCAAAATCCACTTTTTCCATCAACAGAGGATACCTCACCCATGTTATCGACAGGGACCTCACCCGAATCATCAACTCGATCAGGAACTCCCGGTTTCACAACCACATTCCTTTGGTGCTTCCCTACCACCCTTACAGTCTTTCTATCCCCAGGACCCTTAATGACAACTTTCCATCTTACAGGATGATCCCTCCATCGGTACCCTCTTTTCTGACCACCCAATCATCTCTTATTGCCAACCACCCAATCTGCGTAACCTTCTTGTTCACAGCTCCCTTGACCACTCTCGGCAATCATCCACACCAGGCACTTTCCCTTGCAACAAAACTCGCTGCATCACCTGCAAATACATATCTAACTCTGAGGGGCTCATTCAAGGCCCCTCAGGACTATTCTGGATCACTCAGATGATATCTTGTACCTCCAGCAACCTTATTTACTGCCTCTCTTGCAGAAAATGCCCAGCTATTTACGTTGAGGAATCAGGAAGGAGACTCTGAAACCACTTCAGAGAACATGTTAGGGTTGTGAAGATCAAAGACTTCTCCAAGCCCATAGTTTCTCATATTACTTACAATGGTCATGATCACTCTGAGCTCTCCATCTGCATTCTCAAAGAAGGGTTTCTTAACTCATATAGCAGAAAGACACCCGAGACCCAAATTATCCTGAAACTTGGTTCACACCTTCCCCCTTCTCTCAATGACAGACTCGTTTTCTACTAATCCTCTTTATTCATTTGCAGGTTTCAACATCACAACTCTCTTTACCTCACACCTCCTAAATGCCCACTCTGCCTCCCCCCTACTCCCGCCTCCTCCACACTCCTTGCTTTTTTTCTCCCATGCTGTATAATCTCTGCTGACTTCCCTGTCTTTCTCACACATGAAGAAGGCTCCACAGCCAAAATGTTGTTGACTTCCCTCTCTTTTCAGCATGGAATAAACCTTTAACTTGTTCCTTTAAAATCTTTTTGCTGTGTATTTAGCAAGAAATTGATCATAAAACTATGAAATTGTTTTATGGGGTGTATTAGAGAGGGGAGGGAAGAGGAATATAGGAGCTTGATTACCAATTTTGTGGAGTGGTGTCATCTTAACCATCTCCAGCTTAACACCAGCAAGACCAAAGAAATGATCTTTGACTTTCGAAGGAATAAGCCTCCGCTGAACCCTGTTTCCATCCAGGGTGAGGACATAGAGGGCGTACATTCCTACAAGTACTTAGGGGTACACCTGGATGATAAGCTGGAGTGGTCTGGTAACACTGATGCCCTGTACAAGAAGGGTCAGAGCCAACTCTATTTTCTTAGGAGACTCAGGTCCTTTGGTGTGTGTGGAACACTGCTACACATTTTTTATGAATCAGTGGTGGCAGCGGCCATCTTCTACGCTGTGGTGTGCTGGGGCAGCAGGATCATGACAAAAGATGCAAATAGGCTCAATAAACACATCAAGAAGGCTGGCACTGTGCTGGGGATGAGCCTTGACCCCATGGAGGTGGTGGCTGAGAGGAGAATGCTGACCAAGCTCACAGCCATCATGAACAACACCTCTCATCCGCTTCATGGGACTGTTACTGGGCAGCGGAGCACATTTAGCAATAGACTGCTCCAGCTATGGTGTTCAAGGGAATGTTTCCGCAGGTCTTTCCTCCCGGCAGCTGTCAGGGTGTATAACGATGCCCTTGGCTAGGACTTTTAGCCCTTCATTTGCTCCTCTATGGACAGCGTGTTTACTCCATTGTACTTTTTGGACAATCAGTCTGTATAAACCTATGCACATTTTGCACATATTTTATTGTTTTTACAGTGACTATGATCAGCACATTTTGCACACACCTATGTATTTATTTTTATTTATCTAGTTTGTCTTTTGTTTTATAACTATTCTGATGTCTGTTTTGCTTGTTTTGGGCTGGACTGCTGCAACACATCAATTTCCCTATGGGATTAATAAAGTATTATCTATCTATGAAGAAATAAATAATAACACCCAAATGGGAACATTTTTAATTATTCTAAACTGTTTAAGGAGTACGTCAGTGAAGTGCATGCTTTCACCTTTTCACGTCACACATGACATTACATGACTTGAGGAAAACAAATAGTTAAATTCCTGACAAACATTTGAAAAAAACAGTAAACAGATTCCTGTTAATAACCTCTTCAAAGTCTCATGGGTTGATCTATTATAGAATACTGACTCTCAAAGGCAAATGTGTCCATTCAATACTATTTTGTCTTAGTTGCACTGAATTATAATACTGAAATATTTTTTTCATTATCTTGTTCTTTAAAAATAAAACATTTCAACTACCTTATAAAAGTGTGTAACAGTCTACCTAGGAAATTAATTATACACAAGAAGCCCTAATTGTAGACTGAATTAAGTCTACCAATTACTAGAAACTGTCTGGCATTTTTTTCATTTTTCTGAAATTGCAGTGTAATTGTTTATCAACAACAATGCACATAAATGAGGCAGATCTTATTTTACCTACAGTATAAAGCTTATGATACCACTGTTATACATACCATAGCTTGTAGGTCTATGGAAACACACATCCTGAATGATTGTGACCAGGTTGGACAGGATCTGCTCTTTGTGCATATCAAGCTGCATGAGGTTGATGAAGCATAGAACAATGAAAACAATGAAATGTGAACAGTGAGAAATACAATAAAATAAAATGAACAGGTCAGTCACAGTAATAAAGGAACTGAGTAAACAACTACTAGTTAAAGCCAAATATGTTTAAAAAATTCCCATTTACTGCCAGTGCCATTGATTATTCTGCTAATCATGGTTTCATTACTTGAAAGACGAATACCTTAATGTTCCTATCTACAATTATTGCTTTTTCAGATGATAAAAATACATTAATGAAAGTATTTAAAGTACCATAAACCAAATTAACATGATTATTTCAGGGTAAATGAAAATGTTACACAGTGCCCCGTTTTGTTGTGTCAACACTTTTGCCATGAAGATTCTACTCCAAAATGTAAAATGGTAGATTAGACCAGTGAAATCAGTTAAATTTAGGCAGACCTTTAAAAATGCAATGACCAACAATAATGGCTTCAATATAGCAATATTCTTTTTTTACCTGGCTAAATAATATTTAGTACAATTACTTTTAAAACCTGTACAATTCACCAACAGAATTCAACAGTAATCCTTTTTAAGTACTTTGATTGTTTGAACATTATACCATGAAACGCAGATTAAGTTATTCACCCAATCTATTGTTTTATTATTTTATTCATGATTTTATTTAGACAATGGCACAATACTTCAAATGTTCAACACGAACATATATATATATATAATGTATAAGAACAAACCAATGCCTATGGCACTACAACATACCAGTATCAAACTTTATTTTACCTTGCTTTTTAACAGAACATTCCTTAGCACCAGTGTCAATGTCAGTCTTTTTGTCTGCAGGACTTAAAAACTTACATCTGTCCGTGTATAGCAAATCTGCTGTATATTGTTACACTTCTTTACATAATGAAATGTTTTCTGACATAGTTGAAATTTATTAATGATTTTCTTTATAGTTTTACACTTCACACATTTTACAATAGCCAATAAACGTTAGTATTTATATTTGTATTTATACAAATTATTTATACAAATAAAAATATTAATATATTTTGCATTTATAATAATATTTAGCTTCTAATTTTGTAATTAATCACAGTTTCAATGCTAATTACCTAATGGTGACTGACATTTGAGTGCCTGGAGAGGCACTGCAGGATAAGGATGAAACTACATGTTACCCAACCGAGGCAGGTGTATTTGTTCTGAAATCATGTGAACCCAACTTTAATTCTGGGGCATAAAAAGTCAAACTATAATATGCAACAGTACTGTCTACAAAAATATTTTTTTTAAATCAGATTTTGCTCTTCATAACATTAATCCACAAAATAATCCACAAACTACCTGTGCTGCTGGAGTTTGGAGCCAGGAAAAATGACGTAAGTGTAAAAAATTGTCTAGCCAAATTCCTCAATTTAACAATAATGTAAGGATGAAACAACACAAAACGGGGAAACTTATAAACGGGACCATCTATATTTTATTTTAACTATTGAACAGTGTTGTATAGGGTAATGAAATATACAGGATTTATACATTTATTAAAAGGTAACTTTCAGCCTAATGCTTAACTGTTAAATATAATAAGATGTAAATTTTTATAATTAGCATATTTAACATTTATACATTTTTAAGTGTATGGTATAACTGGTGTTGAGGTATTCTAATTATTGTTTTTTAAACATAATTTTCATTTCTCTATCCATATATAAATTGGGGATGTTTTATTTACTTCATTAACTAGCTGCTAATACATTTTCTCTCCCACTCTCTGCCCGTCTCATCTGTTAATATCACACTCATCTGTTAACTATTCAAGTACAATAAACCCTGGTGAGCATGCAATTCTGCTCTACTTTCCCTCTTTCCTCACTCGCTGACACAGCTGGGAAAATAAGGGAAGAATGCTTTAAAATCATGAATACTCATTCCTTTTAAATGCCAGGGCTAAGAAAAGGTTGTTTCTGCCTTAAAATTGGACAAAATGCAGGTAAAAAGATTTATGGGAACAGATCTCTTATGTAACCTTGGGGGTGGGTGTATTAACTAATTTTAGTTGTGTATTTAACCTTCGTAAATGCAAATTGTTCTAAAAAAGTGCAATTGTGAAGTTAAAAAAGGATGAAAGAATAAAGGCATAAATTGTAAATTATTCAAATTGTAACCCATCTCAGCAATACATAGGAAAACAAAAGTGAAAAAAGAACATCAAGCAAAAATTTGTTATAGGGAAATTTCCCATTAATTAAAGAAAGATTTGTAACCTGAGATAATATATGTTGGTAGTGGACAAAAAATTGAAACAATTGTAAAACATCTGGTACAAGAGGATTTCACACAGGTGTGGCTCATGCTTTAATTAAGCATTTTAACCACTTATGCTTAATGTCATGCATAAAAATGATGGTTGCCTATAACTAATAAAAAAAAACCTATATATAAACCTAAAATACAATGTGTGAAACCTGGATTCTCCCAATAAAACCCACTATTTCTACAATGCTGACTTAACATCCGCAGTAACTTTAAAGTACTTAGCTCCAACACACAAAAATAACGGGACAAGCAATCATTGAATGCAACATCTGTCACATTAGTATTTCAAATTTTATAAAAATAGACAAAACATACTTGTAAAGCCTTAGTTATTGTAGTACTTTCTTACAGGCAGAATGAATGCATTATATAAATATAATGATATGTATTAAGACCTATATATGTTTTAAAAATTAAAAATGAATTCATAGAAAGACAAGTTGCTAAAAGGAATGTTTTTAAAAAGAGAAGATGGAACCAAAATATAAACATACCGTAGCAAATTTTGTCAGGACATAGCAATCTCTCTCTACAAAATATTCATGGCCAGTCTTAAACAACTCAAGCATTTTAGGAATGTTTGTCCCAACAGAACCTGAAATAACAGCAGGAGAAATTGAATTAGAATACTTTAGACGAAAAAATAAAAAATTCTAAAGATTATTTTTAATAATTAATTAAAGGAGCTATTGTATAATGTTGCCTTTATTAAAAATAATTTTAGGCTTCTACCTCATAAATCTTCCATTGTATGAACAATGTTCTCATACTTTCCTGCTTTCACAACTAAGCAACTTTTATCACATCTCAAAATAACTTTTTCTATCATAAATAGTGGAAACAAAGTTAAATTATTTATAGACACATTCAAGAGAACTTGTGGCTAGCAAGTTAATGGCTATATGTCGATACAAAAATAAATATATATATATATTTCCATAACACTGAATACTGCTTATGTAAGATAAGAATCATTAGGACTGATAACAGAGTTTCTTCCATTATTAAATGATGTGGGAAATAAATTGTAAATAAATCTAAACAATCATGATAATTAGATAAGTAAAATATCTCAAGTTCATTGAAGTATATCAAATTTTAAACTGTTTCTGAGATTTTTTAGAAGCATGGAAACTGCCTTTATACCGTCGCTGGGTAAGGAAAAAATATCTGAGGTAAAACACTCATGCCTGGTATCCCATACAGAGCATCTTAAAGCATTACACCACAGAGAAGAACAAAATTACTGTAGAAATAGCAAGAGTATACCTCTACGTCAAGTACCTTTAACTTTAATTCAAAAAAGTTAAATCAGTCTCCTTTCTTCCCCTTTTAGGTATTGTGCTTCCATTTAATATTAGACACAGGCAGACATAAAATTTAAAACAGAAGAATTATTTGAAAGAAAGCTTTGAAAAAGGACAGGGTATAATGTATGATACTAAAGTAGACCACACCACATCCTATACATATTTCTACAATAGAAAAACTAAACTCATGAAAAATGTTTACAAGCAACATGGTTGACTTATTTAAAACAAATGTCTAGTTGAGATAATCTGATAAATTAGCTACCAGCAATCAAACAAAGCTGGATAAGAAAAACGTCTAACTTTGTAGCCATTCATTTTTCTTATTACATTTTTTAATGTATTAACACATTGTATTATGTAGTTTTTAACCTTGCTGATGGGATAGACTTTGGTTGCTGCATCTCTAACCTGGAATAAGTGGCTTTCTCATAATGAATTAGTTTTTTGATAATGGGTGGTAACCAGACAAAATAATATTAAACTGCAATTTTTCTGCACTTGTCCACTTAAAGCAAAATGATGGGATGTTTTATATCCCAGATCTCTAAAAGCCTGCCTGCAACATTGTTCCATAACAATACAAAGCCATGGCAATGCAACCAATGCTAATAATTCCCATTTGAACTCATTTGTTAGATCCATATTTAAATATAAGTGGTAGATGACAGATAATTATGTAATTGTAATTGATATGTAAGAAATTGGGGTATGTGTGCTCATCTCATGCTCACAAGTAAGTCATTATTTATCTCTGAATAACTGGGCATTAGTTCTGCTGTATGACCTTCTACCATCTGGAAAACGGTACCGGAGCATACCTCACCTACGATCTGAACCTCACAGTGGCCCCCCGCCCCCCCCACGAGGTCCTGACTCTCTGTGGTCATTAAAAATCCCAGGGCGTTTCTCGAAAAGAGTAGAGGTGTAACCCCGGCGTCCTGGCCAAATTTCCCATTGGCCCTCACTAATCATGGCCTCCTAATAATCCCCTTTATGAATTGGCTTCATTACTCTACTCTCCTCCCCACTAATAGCTGATGTGTGGTGAGCGTTCTGGCGCACTATGGCTGCCGTCGCATCATTCAGGTGGATGCTGCACATTGGTGGTGGTGGAGGGGACCACCACCTGTAAAGCGCTTTGAGTGGAGTGTACAGAAAAGCGCTATATAAGTGTAAGCAATTATTAATTATTATTATTGTAATTATTATTATTAAACTCCCTAATGGGGAATGTTTATAGTAAACTCTTGATAAGAAATGAATGTTTTATGTGCTTTCTGAGTCCTGGAGTTTCTTGAGAAAGTTATCCCAAAGACAGGAGGGGGAGGGCATAGGGAAAAGTATATATAAGTTGTGTAGAGCCATATCCCCTTTGAACTACTTTAACTACTATGGTTCTTATGGTGGTTCCTTGTATGCATACGATAAAGCTTGGCTTGACAAACAGAACACTTCAGGCTCGATCCTCTTGGTTTCTATAATACTGATGGAAAAAAGAAACAACATGTTCAGAATGAGAATATTAGATTATTTTCACAAACAGTTGTCAATTTGTTTTAAGGTTTAATACATCTTAAAAACAGACAAGTCCATTTTCACTACAATACTATTGAGGCATATTGAGGTCCCTGAGGCATATCTTACAAGTTTCAGAATTAGTCATGTACTGCTTGCAAAGTAGATATTTTTGACAAACAGCTAATTTTGGTTGAAGAATTTAAAATCTGTCTGTACTGTAGCTTTATTTAATTGAGCAGTGTCACCTTGCTTTTACAAGCGGCTCTGTTAAACAGAGTTTGTGTTAACACCACACACCATTTTGAATGAGTTTTTATCACCTTGGTCTGTCCGGGGAAGGGTGTTGGGCAGCGTGACAGAGAGTGAAATAAATCAACAGCAGCACTACCAGCATTTTTGCTTTCCCCTGGTGTGAGATAATGCACTGGCTGGCACCGAGCAACCCCCCCCCCAATTCTCCTTCAGAACATCTTGGAGATGGTCTGAAAGTTGATTTGTTATTACATTATTACTCACATTAATATTAATATTTGATATCTACAATTATCAAAAATGTGAATATAGTTTGCATAGTATTTTATTGTGAGAGAATCCCAATTATGTTTGTCATTGTATTAACAATTACAGCAGATATTTCACACCTGAAAACACAGGGCTTTTTATTTTACTGGGAGTGTGAAAATTCAGTGATTACCGGGGCGCCCAGTGGGATTAACTCAGTGAAATTACCGAGATAATTAATTTTAGTAAATATGTTGACAAAAATCTGGATTCTTGCTTTCACGAGGCAAGATAAAATTATATGTGAATGTGAATCAGCTACGTCATGTTGCCCCCATGAAGTTTTTGGGAAAGGGGTTTAGTGGGCAGCATTATTCACAGTGTAGTGCCCATAGAGTGTTAGTTTTAATACACTGTATAACAGTGTATTACTATGATCTTGCAAGTATCTTTTTTTAAGATGTTTGTAATTGTTATTGATGCAAATACATTTTGGATTGTTATTCAGTTTGTGTCTGCGTGTTAGTTGGTGGGCAAACGTTCGAGATAAAAATTCTTCTACCAGGAGGGGGTACCTTTAAAGTGGAGAAGCCCGCATCAAAATTTTTCGGGTCTGTATGTCGCTTATGCCATTTTAGTCTTTGGCATTTTAGTCATAGAGGAGAGAAGACACCTCCCCACTCCCGCTTCCCTCTGCCTACCTGACTTGTTCCCATTTTTAATCATTCTGTGTCTGAATCAGAGGGGTGAAACAGTAGGAAGAAAAACAGAAGGAAAAAATTGAATCCTGGCTTTAATTATAAAAAATTATATTTTACCTTCATTTTTTACTTTCTAAGTTACATTACAATGCAACTTTTAGTATGATTGATTACTAATAGTTTATGCTGACACCTGACTTTCGTATTTAGATGTACATAAAATATTGAACTAAGTCTGACAAAACATTCAGAAATTCAATCAAGAATAGTCTGTGGTATTTGTATAGATGAAACTTTTTAAAAATTTATAAAAAATTAAAAACAATTAAAATGTATAATCTTTCCACATGTTATGTCATTAGGAAGTACAATAAGCACCTGTTTTGTTTAATGATGTTTTCAAATATAAAACTAACTGGAGAGAAAGCTAAAGTAAAAGTTCAAGTTAAAAGAAATGATTTACGTTCGATTATTAAATTTAAAAGCAGAAATTCCTGATGCCATAAGCACCCCAAGCTGCAGAACGGTCTTTTTGTATTAAGCCTCCTCTCGGTGCCGCCACTTCTCTGATGGGGCTCAGCGGGTGCTGTGCTGTTTCCTCAGTGACCTGCTGATTGCTTCACACCACAAGAAGAGTGGAGAATTAATGCGATTTTATCTGTACGATATGTGTATTGCGTTTACAAAATCAAAGTGTTTAAGATTTATTTTAAGCTGATCACGAGGAAGAAAAATCACCCGGTTTTTGTGCATAAGAAGTGGTAACTATCTAAACCCATAAATATCTAAAACCGTGTTTTTCAAGTCATACAATGTCTAATATGTCTATTGACACGCTATTGTTTCTTATTCTTGATTTTCTTTCAAATTAAAAGAATCAGTTGCCCATCGTGCCATACAATATTGTGTTACATTTTTATGTTTTTGAGAGACTTCAGAACACTTTGACTGATGCATAAAAATGTAGCATTATGCTAAATAATTTTATAGCTTGCCTGCTTTGTTCAAATGCAACTAGGTACTAGATATTGTTAAATTAAAGCTGTGGAAATTTTAACAAATCGTGATCTTTAACATGCCTAGGGTTTGAATGCTCTGTGTCATTTGTTATTTGTCATTTGGCAGAGTTATTGACATCTGAAGCATCCCGTCTCAAACATAGGAGTATTCATAAAGTGAAGGTTGTGAAACAGCGGAAAATGACCCTGAACAAAATACAGTCTGAGATTGTTATTATTAATAATTCAATATTGTTAACAGTGATGAGATACGTTATTATAGTTCGGTTTCAGTGGTGTTTTAATATTGCTTTGTTATTCTCGATTATAATTGTAATATTTACAAGAAGTCCTTCATTTTAAGACTTCTTGTTAAGGCTTGTCTTGAACTGCCCCATTGGGATGCAGTAGTATTTTTTAATTAATTTAATAGGTTGAACTATTTTTAGTCCCACTGTCGACAATATTCACATTTGCTCATGCATATTTTCAACTTATTTATTGAACACGTTGTGATATATACCAATAAAATGAACATAATATTAACTTTTTTTGTGTTCCTTGCAAGAAAAACACATGCCTTGACTGGGATTCAAACACTGACCTCCCAATTGATTGGCAAGCGCCTATAACAAACCGTCATTTAGAGAGAGTGCTGAAACAGGTTGAAATCTTTCCAGGATAATCATGAGCAGTGAGTCAAAGAAGTTGATGCAGATGTTTACAAAGAAAGTTGAATACGATAATACTTTGAGCTATATATATATTTATTGTTAAATATGATTTTTTTGGGATTCACGATTCCATATTATATTCCCTTTTAAGCAATTCTAAAAAGTTTGCGTTTTTTTAATGCAATAACAAGCTTGAGTATTCTTAGAAAAGGTTAAAAAATTATAAGTATATAAACTTAATATAGTCAGAAGGAGCACATAAAATGTTTTCCAAAAGAACCACAGAAAGTAACAGAGTGAAAGACTTTATGCATAAAATGTTTATGAAGAAAGTGGAATGCTGGTGTGTATTATTTTAATTAAACTACCACTACCAGCCATATATAGTTTGTATAATATATTTATATTCCTAAATTAATATAGTTTATGACCTTCAGAGTTGTTATCCTCCCATTTTTATGCTCAGCTACCAAAATTAATATTCCATATCAAGTGGATTTAAACATGCACAGCAAAGAGAAGAACGCGTTTCACTAACAACTAATGCGCCACAAGTGGAACCCGTCAGTCATTTTGGACAGCCAATCATGTACTGCAGTACACCGCAGATTATTTGCCAGGGTTTGGGGTTACCGCGCCTTTTGAATGGCTACATCTGTACATACATGAAAACAAGGTGAAAAAGTTCAGAGTTTCTTAAAAAACTGCAGATGGAAGGGCAGAAACAATTTGACATTAAGCAACTAATGAGCAAAAAAACATTAAATGCCCACCAAGGAGTTGTTAAAAAATATAGGGAAGAATTCAATTCAGAATAAACCGGATTGTACTGCTCACAGGCTTGCCCTTGCTGTAAGCAATGCAGCCAGATCTGTGGAACAAGTGAAAAAGGTTCTAGCAAGTAAGAAGTAGCTTGTTGCTTCTTACATGAGTTAAAGAAACAAATTATCCATACCCCCCCAGGATGCTGAAATAGCCCGCCCCCCCCATGAGCTTCGTGTAAAGGGGGAACTCCCCCTCATTTTCAAAAATCAATTTCAAACCCTGATTATGTGTTCCACAGGTACCGGGCATTTTATCTGTCTTGACAGAAGCAATAAAAAGTCCTGAAGGAGAAATAAGCAAATCTCAGATTTGCTTAACAGATGCATGTTATTTCTGTTACAATATATTGACATATTTACTGAAACTTACCTCTTTTGCTTTTGGGAAACTTCTTCCTAAGCTTGTTCTTCAAGGGTAAAAGTTTAGGTAGGATTGCTGGCACTGCTATGTAGAAATCTGCCTGTACTTCATCATCCATGATCTGAAAAAAAAAGGTATATGTTATCTAGCCGGCAACTCACAACTGGCAACCCACTGAAGCTAAGCAGGTGTGAGCCTGGTAAGTACCTGGGAAAAACTAAGGTTGCTGCTGGAAGAGGTGTTAGTGGGGCCAGCAGGGGGCGCTCACCCTGTGGTCCACGTGGGTCCTAATGCCCCAGTATAGTGATGGGGACACTATACTGTAAACAGGTGCCGTCCTTCGGATGAGACGTAAAACCGAGGTCCTGACTCTCTGTGGTCATTAAAAATCCCAGGGTGTTTCTCGAAAAGAGTAGGGGTGTAACCCCGGCGTCCTGGCCAAATTTTCCATTTGCCCTAACCAATCATGGCCTCCTAATAATACCCCTCTATGAATTGGCTTCGTTACTCTCTGCTCTCCTCCCCACTAATAGCTGATGTGTGCTGAGCGTTCTGGCGCACTATGGCTGCCGTTGCATCATCCAGGTGGATGCTGCACATTGGTGGTGGTGGAGGGGAGACCCCATTACCTGTAAAGCGCTTTGAGTGGAGTGTCCAGAAAAGCGCTATATAAGTGTAAGCAATTATTATTATCTGTGTGCAGTGAAAACTAGAAACAGGATCCACACTGCCACATTCCTCAAAATACAGAATTTTGGAAGATGCACCCAAAAGTTACCTAGATTAAGTAGAAATTTCTTGTGAAATAACTTTGAAATAACTCTGAAAACTGTATGAATTTATAGTAGTATTCTATATTGATGCATACACAGCAAAATTAGGAATTATGTTTTTTGCCGTAGACTTACCTTTTGAACAAGCTCTGCACCACCTACAAAAGCTGCACCACTCTTCTGAGCTATTTTAACCTCTTCTGTATTCTGTACCAAGAAAATAAGAAAACATTAATTGTGCATTCAATTTTTAAGAATTGAGATCATTCTAAAAATGGCAAACTTGACTCAGAGAGATTATCTAATTTTTATTACTGTTTCTACTGAAAACATTTTACTACCACATATTATGTTTCTAAACTGTTTTAATATTGTGTGTCTATTATGAGAGCTCAGCTATTTGGTTGGTTAATTAATACAGCAAAAAGTAATTGAGAAAAAAGTTGGGAAGAATACAAGTTTAAATCATCTGTATATGCCATGACTTTTAACAGCTATGCAACTGTATTTTGCTTTCATTTCCTTGAAGTTTTATGTGGCATTTCATAGTAGATAATGCAGGCTTAGGCAAGCATTGATTACAATGTAAAACAATAGGAATTAGTAAAATACATAAATACAACAGACTTTGACAAACTGACACACACCACCCTAATTCCAATATAGCATTTAACCTTAGTCAGACCCCATCCTGGATCCAACGCAATGCATTTCACATTGTTCTTCTCTCAGGGAAGAATGCATCATGCTTGCCCTTCCAGGTTGCTCTTCACTTGGATCTACTCACTAACTCTTCATTGTCTTCCTCAATCACTAAACACTGCCCATGCTTATCACACTTCCTTAGACCTTCTCCAGCTCATCACTCTCAATCTTCATTAATCACCAGGCACTAGAGTATTTAATCCAATTAACATCATGTTACACAATCCTTAATCTTTATCAAAAACCAGGTTCTCGACAATTTAACTTGATTAATTCCATGTCACCAAATTTCAATCTTCACTTAAATCAAATTAACTTCTCACTGTTACTCTTCATCAAACACCTGATCTTCACTAACAACCAGTTACTTTTCCAAACACTAACCTTCCCAACTGAATCTGTTTGACCAGTGATGCCACTTGGTAACCAACACTCATGCCCCTAACAAAGCAGCAGTCAGTTTGTTATTTTCTCCCTCTTCAATATCTCTGAGAATACTTGGGGCTCCACTTGTGCCACTTGGGGCTCCACAATCATTCTTTCAGAGACCCACTCCTCCAGGCAGCAATGCCACGAGTCACACAGATTAGCCTGTAATCTCTTATTAACCATCCAGATATGACAAGTATAGAAACTATGGCTACCCTTTCATATAATGGCTGAAATTATTTCAGAAATCAGACAGCACAAAAAATGACACCCAAAAGTAATTTATTTTAAATTACAAAAATACTATAGTACCACCTCACTTATTTCACACTTGCAGCAAAATAAAACAAAATGTACTTTCAACTTACCTCTGTAAACACTAAAACTCTGTTTACTTCTGTCTTAAACGGATGTGGCAGATGAACAGTACTGACAAATGGATCAACTTTTTTCTGCAGAAAATAAAATATTTTAGCAGTTTCATTTATCATTTGCTTACAATAATGCCACAGTCTGTGTATAGTCAACATATATATTACATATAATAAATACATGTATATACAAAATATACCAAAACAAGCTAGGTTAATTTGTGTTTTGACATGTGCTTCATAACATATACCACTTCTTAATTTATGATACTACTAGTTCAACACAATAAGCACATCATAAAGACAAATACAACTGTTGGCTAAAAACCTGAATAACCAATTAATTATAGGTACAATTTGTAGGTAATGATAGTCCTAAGAAAAAATAGATGGCATTCTAAATTAATTGTAATAAAATAATTGTGTTGATGAAATGTGCTTATGGGCACATTTTCCACCACTTCACCAAACCACAACTAAAACAGTCTTCCTTTCATATTTATTCATTCACTTTATTCAATTCTTATCCAATTCAGGGTTGCAGTGGAGCTCAGTGCATGGCACAGATAGACTCAAACACGCACACACACACCAAGGCCATTTTTCCTAGAAGCCAATTAACCTACCAGTATATTTTTGAACTGTGGAAGAAAACAAAAGTACCTGGTGAAAAGGCAGATGAACACAAAGAGAAAATACAAACTCCATGTAGATAGCACACTAGGTCCAGAACTGAACCCAGGGCCCCAACTCTATGATACATATGATTTAACACAGGCTCTGAATCAAAGAGCTCTCACCAGTTGGGCCACTCCACAGCCCCTACAGCCTGTTTTTGAACTTTTTACCGTAAAACTCACAAAGAAGTCAATGTTACTGTATATTAGAGATCAATTTTTCTAAAATGTTTTCTTTAACCAGGATAATTTACCTTTTTCTCCAGCTTCACATCAAGCTTTAGGTCAAGGTATAGAGGTTGTTTAGGATAGGTAAAGTCTAACTCCTGAAACCTTTTCAGCATATCGATTGCTGCGTTGACCTCAAACACTGTCTTTGGGTAAAATCTGGTCACATACACATCATCAACAGGTTTCCATGCTGTTAACCCAAAAGGTTTGTGTCGATTTATATTCTCAGTCCTTCTTTCCCTTTCTTCCTTCGGCTTGTCATCTTTCTGTTTGTTTTTGGTATACCTGTAACAAACAAGATTCTATTTATCTTTAAAACTTTAAAAAGTTTTCTTCATAATGAAGGAACTATATTAAAGAAACTTTTAAATGTTTTTCACCCTGCTCTACTACAATATTTTTAAATTTATCACAAAAAGACATTACTGTTTTTTCTTATGACTGATATATCGCCCCAGCCGATTTTTACTCACTCATGTTCATGATTTGTAAGATGCATATCAGATATGAAACCATATAGTTTAGGTCAATGATTAATATTAAATGAAATATACCCACGTTTGTAGGATATGTAGGATATGTTTCAACAAATCAGTAAGGAAAGAATGAGGGAAAACTGAGTGCTTCATAAGTTGATTCAAAAGAATACAGTAAAAAATAGAGAACTTCAAGAACATTAAAATGAAAATTAAGAGAGGTGAAGGCAGAGTCAGGAATATTTCACTGGAGGCTAAAACAAACAAAATTCTTTCTATACAAAAGCAGTAAAAGAACCATTCAGGGATGAAGTAAAATGTGTCTTAGATAAAAATGAGAAACTTCCAGACAATGACAATGTATTAAATGAACATTTTATAGGGGTGTTCAGTAAGGAAGAAGTCAACAAAATGCTCCAGGCAACAGAAGGACAAATTTCTTTATTAAACAGTATGAGCATAGAAGAAGCAGACGTGTTTTGAGTATTATAAGCACAACATTTACTAGTCTGCAGGATCCAAAATATCTTACTAGTCATATTGAAAAAAATGAGAGTTGTTAATCTGAAATCACTGACACAATTCTACCAACACTCACTCAAGATAAGGGTGGAACCCATGAAGGTTTTTTTAACCTGTTTTGTTTATTTTTGAAGAACCTTATTTACTGTTGGCAAAAGAGCTGACATGTATAATGTGTGGAGAAAAAGCTGCTAAGCAGCTTGACCAGCTGCCCCCTCCGAAAGACACAGCCACTCATAGAATTATTGATATGGCGGATGATATCAAAAGCATGCTGACAGAGTGTGTTAAGATGAGCAGATGCTTTTCACTGCAAATAGATGAGTCTGTAGATGTCGTTGATTTGGTCAATTTGCTCGTTTACGTTAGATGTCCCATGAGGACTTTCTGTTCTGTAAGCCGCTACCAACAGGAACTACAGGAGAGCATATATTTCAGTTTCTGAATGAATTTATCGAAGAAAATGGCATCATCTGGATAAAATGCGTCAGAGTTTGTACAGACAGTGCTAAACCGATGGCAAACCAACACAGCGGTGTAGTTGCATGAATTAGAGAGGTTGCTCCAGAAATTAATGGACGCATTGCAAAATCCACAGCAAGACCTTTTTGTCAAGAAAAAGCCTGATGATTTAAAATTTGTGAGACTCTGTTGCAAATTGTATCAAGGCTCAAAAAATGAATTCACATCTGCTTTGCTCGACTAAACAGGCTCAACCCTCTCACTGAAATTACGTTTTTTTATTGTTTACGTTTTTATTATTATATTTATTATATGTGTGTGTGAGTGTGTGCATCTTTGAGCCAGATATTAAAATATTAAGGTGGATAGCTTATGATTCAGAGTTCCCTTCTGGAAAATATGCTATATGTTTTAAAATCTGGACTATGAGAGGGATCACAGCAATATGTATCTTGCTGAAACAATCACCTGAACAAATTTGAAGATTTAACTCAACAATATAACCTAGGAAAAAGACTAATACAGATACATCCAAATTAGGCAGTATGTAAATAGTTGTGTAAAACAACCTAATATAGAATGAGGTAATAAATTGCTTGTTCATTTTATATCTTCGTATCAGCAGAGCAACCAGAAGAAAAATTCATGCCCGACAACAGAATAATGAAAATTAATCAATTTTGCACTTACTAATATACAGATGCAGCCATTCAAAACGGGTGGGGTATTTCGCGGTACACCGCAATGGGCATGTCGCATCAAACGCAGTATCACGTGGTGTATCGCGTCATTTGACGTCATGCTGGAAGGTATCCGGAATCACCTTGTAAAACCGCCAGGAGGAGCCAATAAAGCTTAACCTCTCATGTACAGCATTTGAGCTTTTAAATTTAAACTGTGTATTTCAGGATGTTAATCATCAGTCATTAAAAAGTTGGTATATTTTATGAAAGCATGATTGCTCAGTTGGACAAAAGTGCACAACCTACCTGTATCATAAATATTTTAATTATGCAGAAATATTTTATGCATAAAAGCCTTTACCAAAGATATTACTAATAGTATTAATAATGAATGACCTTGGACAAACATTACGCTTTTCCACATTATTTGTAACTGTCATTTTAAATGAAAAGACTATTTTTGCATCAACAAAAAGTAACACCACAGCATTTAGTTGATCTAACTAACAAGGACGGAACATCAGCTAGCCAATAGGATAAAGGAATAAATTACTTTTTTTGTTTATTTCTTTATCACATTTATTTCCATCAATAGTACAAGCAATGAAAAACTGTCAAATCCCTAGTTCGTCGGGCATTTTCTTTTAGTATAACAGACATAAAAACTCCCTTGCTTTTAACAGAGCGTTTCATAATTTCTAACAATAAAAATTATTTAAACTGCGACAGTTATCATTCAACCAGAGCTCAAAACATCACAAGGATCCTCAAGAGCACAACAAAGACTGTATTAAAAGATACTTGTATCAGATACATTAGAATCCAAGCTTTTAGAACCTACGCTTTCTTATCTATGCTAAGAATTAGTCTTTAAAATTTATCACATAGTAAAAAGTCAAATTTCAGGGGCGTCCGTATACCAGAGATTATGGTACCGCTTCAGAAGGGTGTCAGCTAGTCAGATTCCAGAACCGGAATTATCTGTTTTATAATAAAGAATATGTAATCACGTATCTAAAGAAATTAATAATGATATTAATTTAAGGATCTAAATTTCTAAATCTATGTATCTATATAGCTGGTAGTATTACTCTAATTCACTTTCTTTGTAAACACGTTTTGTTAACACCCGAATCACAGGTGGATTCTGTTTTTTGGTCTGTAGCTCAAATCCGGCTTAACTAAAATTATTATTATTATTATTGGACAATGTTGTGAGGCTCTGGCGGAATTTCTCTGTAAACTGAAGAGTTATAGAGGAGACAGGTTGTGTATCACTTCTTTTGATACTAAAAAAACATTCCAATGTTAATGCGACACGAAGATAATGTGGTGTATTGGTCATTAGTGAAAAGATTAAATAATTTAATCTCTTTACTGTGCACATTTTAATCCGCCTAGTATTGAATATTTATATGGAATTTTACCACTAAAGGGAAATTTTAGTAGCTAAGCATAAAACGCAGAGAGCATAACGAAGGTAGTAAAGGTCATAAACGATATTAATTTAGGAACATAAATATATTATGTAAACTGTATGTTGCTGTTATTGGTATTTTAAAGAAAAAATACACACCAATACTCAATTTCTCCTACAGTATATTGACATTTTTATATTTCAAAATAATAGTTCATACTGTACTGTATGTACAGTACACAGCAGTACCGCAGGTTGAATTGTAGGGCGCAAACCCTCCCGAGCCCAAAAGCCCAACATATTAATGTGCATTCCCCTGGAGCTGCGCGGTTTTCATCACTCTCTGTGGGAGTGCTGGCCGTGACAAATTAAACCGGTTTCACAGGTATTTTCAAAGTAGAAGGCGGCGAGTCTTCCAGCGAAAGACACCCCCCCTCTCCAAAACCCACTTTTTTGCTTACAGTAGTAGTACTTAAGTACAGTAAGTACAGTACTTACTGTAGTACTTCTCGCGTTAAGAAAGCTAGGTGTTAGCATAAACTATTAGTAATCAATAATATTAAATTTAGCACTGTAATAAATTGTGCTAATAATAAATTCTATTCTACTCTGAGAATGTAGGGGGGAGGAAGAATGCCCGTGGTCTTTTCACTTATAAACTTGTGTCAAGCTGTCAACAAAAACCAGCTGTCAAAAAAAAGTTTTTTTTTTAAAAAAGTCAATTGTGTGTCCATAATATTGCTAACTGCTATTGCTTCTGAGTCTCTGTGTGTTCGGTACATTGTTTGTGAACAAACCGGTTTCACAGGTATTTTCAACCCCCAGCCACTGTTGTTTCATCGGTTGTTATCCTGTAAAGCACTTTGAGGAGCCACATTTAAATGCGTTATATAAAATAAAGTTTATTATTATTATTATTTATATTGATCATATTTTTCCTCCCAGAATTTGTAAATTGTTGTTATTGTTGTTATCCTGTAAAGCGCTTTGAGAAGCATACTGTCCAGCTTGTCACGTGCATTCTCTTGTAAAATAATAAGTAAAGTTTTTGGGTTATTAGTGCTCCACTTACAGCAACCCAATGTAAATACATTTTGTCTCCAAATCCACCAACAATTGTATGAATCATAGCCCTGCCAAACGATGCAAATTCTGCTGCAATGGTTGTTGCAGGAATTATTCAGTATGGCATCTCCATGTCCAAGTAAACAATGCTCTGTGTGGAAATGCAAATGCATTTTTTTTTAAAAAGCCACCTTTAAAGGCGCTATATAAAATAAAGTTTTTTATTATTATTATTAATATTGATGATATTCTTCCTCCCAGGACTTGTAAAATTGTTGTTGTTATTGTTGTTATCCCATAAAGCACTTTGAGAAGCACACTGTCCAGCATATTGTATTTCATTGCACTTTGACAGATCATCTTATAATCAATCTACAGACATTCACAACATAAACATATCTTAAAACATTTACATATATTGTTAAATTATTACTTTTAAATATATACTTTAAGTTACTGAAACAGCCAGTTAATAAAATCATTACAATTTTGTTCTTATTTGGAGGTGGGGATATTCTGACAACCTGTCAAAGTGCAATAAAATACAATATTATGGGGGTACCTTTAAAGCGGAGACACCGAAAATAAAGTTTATTATTAATTTGCTGGGAAGAGAGGTGAACGTTGCATTGCCAGATTGTGAATCAATAAAAATATTTA